ACCTTCAAGTGGAAATTCAGATCTGCAAGTTTTTATGCAATGCCCATTTCCCTTAACTAGATCTCTTGGAGTCTGTTTTCCATAGTAAATCCCAGGGACTGCCTGGATACCATGCTGGTAGACACTTTGTAGAGAACCACAGCCCCATAGGCAGATATGCCTTTTTGCCCACTGCACCAGATTCTCTGCTCTGCTGAAAGGTGCCCATATAACTGATTACAGAGCAGACACAACTTATGATGTTCAGCAAAACCTTTTTACATTGCTTTGTCAGCATAACATACTCATGAAATGGATGTCATTTCCTCTCATTTGATGATTGCATTACTCTGCAAGTGGAAGGCAAATGCCACAAGTAAATGAGCATTTGTCTATTGAAAGAGGGAAGGATCTCGATTTATCCATAAAATAGGGCCATTCCGGTCTGAATTAAAGGTGGGGAACTGACCAAACTCCATTAGGTGACATTTCAGTGACAGTTCTTGTACAGAAAGCAGTCTGCTGCCTAAACAATATTTACAAGGTCATACTGCAAATGGCGTTGTAGATGACAATGAGGTATGAGTCAACAAGAAAAAGAAAAAAGTGTGGGGGAAACAAGTGGAAAATATCTGTAGGGTCAGATCACCAAAACTACCCAGTGCCATCTTCAGAAAACTGGGTAGGAGTGCATAGAGCAGCGTATCACTGAATCTGGCATTAGTTTGCCTCTGCTGGAATCACCCAATTTGTAATCATGATTCAAAGAGTGGTTCCCAGAAAAAGGACAAGAACCACTTAAAAGGTGAAAAACACATCTTAAAAGTGAGAATGTCCATCTAAAGGATGCTTTAATGTGCCTTCCTTAACAAGGTGCACTCCTGTGGACTTCAAAAGTAGCAGTGACCAAGCTGCAGGCATGGGTTTGTATGAAAATGAAGGGAAAAGGTCTCCTCTGGCAAATTGTTCTTCAGTTATCTGCAGTATTTAGGGGGGAAAAGTACAAAACTGATGAATACCAGCACAGGTATTCAGAGAGAAAAAAGGAAAATCCATTTGTTCTTATTTTCTCTAGTACCTTTTTTCAGTTAACAGCACGACTGGATGGTTCCTGTGGGAGCTGCTGCTCCATCCCCTGAGCTTGGCTATGGGATTTCTGTGGCCAGGCCATGGACACATGCACACGTGAGGAGAGAATGAACTTTCTAGCTGAAGACACTACTGGGTGAGACAGCAGTGGGAGGGGGGGCATATTACAGTCACTTTAGTCTCTTGGCTGGTTGCCAGCAGTACAGAAGTTGAGAAATCATTTGTCACAAGGATAAAAGCCAAATACACTGCTCTGGGTGAGATGTAACCTGACAAACAGTCTCCTGTGACTGATGCATTTGAACTACTAATACACTCTATATAATGACTTTTTTCTGACAGCTAACAGTCATATTTTTTTGCTTAGTTTTTCTGCTTGTTCATGCTGAGCTTTCTAAGTTCCTATATATCAGATTTCATGGCAAGGGAACACAGGGCAGGAGGATAGTTTTCTGTCATGCTAGTTTCATACTACAAGTTGAGGAGGAAACAAGCTACAAAATAATTAGGAAACAATTTTTTAAAAAATTACTATTTTCTAATATCTCTCTCTTTTTTTTTTTTTTTCCTTTTTCTTCCAAAAAGCCACAAAGTCAGCTGGTCAGCGGAAACTTCATTTATAACTGTCAATTTAACAGTTCATTTATTTCACTGAAGCAGTGAGACACAACAGGGGTGTGGTAACCATGAGATAATCACACCTCTGGGGTCTTATGAGGCAAGGAGAAACAGCCAATTCCTTCTAATCCCACAGTGATGCGATTAGTGCTCCTGATAGCTACAGCCAAGGAGGTTATGAGATAAAATGAGCATTTCATGTTCTCAGAAAAGAATTAAATTAAATGTTTAACCAGCCTCATTCAAGTTCTGCAATTCATCTTGATTATAGATATGTATGTTCATGAACACTGACCCACATACATTTGTCTACTTTGAAATGTTAGACAGACAACAGGAATAGCCATTTGGTTTGAGAACTATACTATACATAGAAGCTGTAGCATATTAGCTGCCTGTCTTGACTACAAGCCCTACAGGCAGGGATCCATCATCATGCTATCCAAAAGCTCCTCTGGGTATTCAATCCTTACTTGCAGAATTATAAAAAATAAAAGGAACTCAGTTGCAAAGAAACTGCCTTTTGTTATAGTCATTACTGGGATGGGAGCCCTGCTAATCAATTTCATTAAATACTCCTCTAATACCTCTATCTACTATGGGAGGTCCATTCATCTCTTACTTATGATGGTTCCACTAGAAAATATATAATGGGTATTTGGCTGATAGAAAATGACATCATGGAGGGCTGGGGAATGAGAGGCTGGAGAGCAGTGCCATGGAAAGAGACCTGGAGGTCCTGGTCAATGGCAAGTTGGGACTTGAGTCAGCAGAGCCCTGGCAGCCAGGAGAGCCAACCCTATCCTGGGGGCATCAGGCACAGCAAGGCCAGCTGGGCAAGGGAGGGGATTGTCCTGCTCTGTTCTGAGATGGGGCAGCCTCACCTCAAGTGCTGAGGGCAGTTTTGGATGCCACAATAAAAGAAAGACATTGAACTGTTAGAGAGAGTCCAAAGGAAGCCACAGAGATGGTGAAGGGCCTTGAGAGGGAAAGCATGTGAGGAGCAGCTGAGGTCACTTAGTCTGCTCAGTGCAGAGAAGAGGAGACTGATGGGAGACCTCACCGCAGTTACAAATTCCTCATGAGGTGAAGAGGAGGGGCAGGTACTGATCTCTTCTCTGTGGTGACCATTGGCCTGAAATTGTGTCAGGGGAGGTTGAGGTTAGATATTAGAAAAAGATTCTTCACCCAAAGGGTGATTGGGCACTGGAACAGGCTCCCCAGGGAAGTGGTCACAACACAGAGCCTGAGAGAATTCAAAAAGTGTTCCGACAATGCTGTCAAGCACCGAGAGTGGTTCTTGGGGCTGGCCCTGTGCTGGGCTGGGAGCTGGACTCAACAATCCTTCTGGATTCTTTCCAGCTCAGCATATTCTGTGATTCTGTGACAGAAATTACAGAATTAATGATCTCATCTATTAGGTCATATTGCTCATTTACATTCTTCATTGTTGTGGTCTGCATTCTAAAATGTTCACCGAAGCACATCAATCCATTTTAAAGTGAAGTGTTTTTAAAGAACACTTTTTATGATTGTTCTGAAGACTGAATTTATTTATTGTAGGCACTGGCATACGAAAGAGTGTGTCAATGTATGGCTGGTTCCTCTCACTGCTTCTGTCTCCTGAAATCTAGACTGAAAAATGATGGCACACCCTTGAGGTCTTCTTCCACTTCTCCAAGAGTATTCATTGCCCTGGGGAGTTGTGGGTTTACCATGGCTGGATGCCAAATTCCCAGCAAGCTGCTTCATTAGTCCCCTTAATCAGCAGGACAGGGGAGAAAATAAAATAGCAGGGAAATAAAACACACACCAACTAAAAAAAAAAAAATCCCAAACAAACCAAACCAAAAACCAAAAACAAACAAAAATACAAACATGTAGGGTTGAGATAAAGACAATTCAGAAACAAAAAATATTTTGGAGGCGACTGGACTGTCTCTGACATCGGGACATTCAAACATTCCTGGTGTCTTCTCACAGTAGTCAGTCATCTCTGTGCCCCCCACTCCAACACAGAAACCTAATAAAGAGTCTAATAAAGTGAGTGCTAATATTAGCCATGGTACAGGTGCCTGGTACCATCCCATGTCAAATAGGTGCCTAGTATTAGCCCATTCAAGAGCTGACAGTCAAATAGTTCAACTTGTCTTCCTGGGCAACTAGGCTTTGGCAACAGGCAGCTCTAGCAAAGTGCAGATTTTGCAAAACTTTGAGGATCTTCAAGATTTGCTATATCTGTGCAGTGACATAGGTGCTTGCAGGCAGACTGTATGCATTTCTGACTCATGCTGTGGTGCTGCAGTCATCCTAAGGATAGGGAAATAGATAAGTATTGGGTTTCCATATCAAGGTAATGGGTGGGCTACAAGGGTGGCTTCTGTAAGGAGCTGCTTGAAACTTCCTTATGTCCAAAAGAGCCAATTTCAGCCATCCTCAAGTCAGGCCTGGCACTGACTAAGGCCAAGCCTGTCAGCAATAGTGGAAGCATGTCTGAAACAACAAATTTAAGACAAAAAGTTGTTGTGCAGCTGCAACTGGAGAGAGAAGCAAGGATATGTGAGAGCAACAATTCTGTACACAACAAGGTCAGTGGAGAAGGAAGGGGAAGGAGGTGTTCCAGGCACAGGAGCAGAGATTCCCCTTCAGTCTGTGGTGAAGACCATGGTGAGGCAGGCTGTGTGCCTGCAAACTCACAGAGGTTCATATTGGAGCAGAGATCCACCTGCAGTCTGTGAAGGACTCCACACCAGAGCAGGTGGATGCAAGAAGGCTGTAACCCCATGGGAAGCCCTTGCTGGAGCAGGCTCCTGGCAGGACATGTGGACCCATGGAGAGAAGAGCCCATACTAAGCAGATTTGATGGCAGGACCTATGACCCCATGGAGCACCTACACCAGAACAGTCTGCTCCTAAGGACTGTGCCTCATGGGAAGGACCATATTGTAACAACTTGTGAAGAACTGCAGTCCATGGGAAGAACTCACATTGGAGAAGTTTGTGGAGGGACACCACAATAGAGCAGGGGAAGGATGAAGAGGAAAGAGCAGCAGAGATAAGGTGTGATGAACTAACCACAGCCCTCATTCCCCATCCTTCTGCACTACTGGATGCAGAAGGTAGAGAATTGTGAGCAAAGTTAAGCCCAGGAAACAGGCAGAGGTTGGAGGAAAGTGTTTTTAAGATTATGTTTTACATTATCCTACTCTGATTTGATTTGTAATAAATTCAACTAACTTCCCCAAGTTGAATCTGTTTTGCCAATGACAGTAACTGGTAGGTGTCTCTCCCTCTCGATCCACAAGCCTTTTGTTATATTTTCTTTCCCTATCCAGGTTAGGAGGGGAGTGATAGAGAGACTTGGGTGGTACCTGGCATCCAGCCAGGGTCAACTCGCCACAAGATATTAAAATTCCTTCAACAATTTCAGTTGTCAAAGTCTGATATAACACCCTTAAAATCTTTTTAGCAAGTGCACTTGAACAGCCCAAGAAAGGAGAAGTGTGATCTGTGTATCCTTAGTAATCCTTGAACATTTTGACTAGTTTTTCCTGTTCTTCCTTTTTTCTTAAGAGACCTACTGGTATATGAGAGGCTTACTTCACAGAGTTTTCTTTAACACATACAAAATGCCTCATAGGTTTCTCCCAGGGTCCTGAACCTAACTCGAGCTACACTCTTGCTTTACAACAGCATAAAATCAGAGTTCTACATCAAAAGAAGGTTACAGCGAGCTGAGGTATTTCCTAGTTAACCCTGTTTTAGATGCAAGAGGTTTGTTTTCTCTGCTGATGATAGTACAAACTTTGCATTCTCAACAATAAAAATAACACAACAAAAACAAAAAAAAAAAAAAAATTTAGATGCAAGAGGTTTGTTTTCTCTGCTGATGATAGTACAAACTTTGCATTCTCAACAATAAAAATAACACAACAACAACAACAAAAAAAAGACCACAACCAAAATATATATTTCAGAATTTATTTTAGTGTCATTATTCACCAAGCAGGAAGTTAGCTATTGTTAAAAGTATCCAAAATTATGGTTGTTAGTTTAAGTGACTGCTAAAAGACCTCAGTCGCTGCTTTCTATGGTCTTGGAGTCAGCTTTTCATGCCTGGGAACAAATGGGATGCAGATGTATAATTTTCACCATCTCATTATAACTGCAGTCCAGTCCTTGGCCTTCTTGCAAAGGAGATGGTTAGCTAACAGGATGAAATTTCTTCAACCTCAGCGAGAAATACCAAGCACACCATCCTCACTGGATCTGCAGTCCTAACTCTGGTTTTCCCCCTGCTCAGCTCAACAGTGCTGCCACCTCTTCACAGATCAGAGCCGCTGCAGAAATGTGAAACAAACAGCAGTCTGTGTAAATCACCTGGAGTGCTATAATGAAAATGTATTTTAAACATGTGGGTCCCCCTTCAAACAATATTTTGGTGATTATTTGGATACATCTGGGCTAATCTTAATAGTCAGGCTGAGCCTGACTGGAAGAACATTTGCCTGCTCTAACAATGATGTAAACCCCAACTGCAGTATTTCTGCAAGAAGGAATGCTTTGGAGCAATGCTGGCATATTTCTATTGAAGGCAGGTTTGGAAGTACCAACACTTTGATACCTGGGGCACTCAGCAAAAAATTAAAAGACTTTTTAAAAAATTATTCTTATTTCAAAATGCAAGAGAATTATAACCCTTTTGTCCTAATGATAGGGAAAGGGTTTTAAATTCCTGAGCGTTCCCTCCCTCTAGCCCCAAAATTTTTGTAGCTGTGGCACTGAATGCAGTCCCATTATTTTTAATGATATATCAGGACTGCGTAGAAGAATAGCATACTATACATCAAAAGCTACACCCTTGGAAATAACAGAGCTCTTCAAGAAGCCACCAACGGGTTAAATGGTGACCTGACCAATTTGCTATGGTCCATTTGGTCTATGCTAATTGTTTTAAATGCTCACTTTCAGGCATATTCTTTACTGTGCTGATGGGAAGTGAGGCATACTTCTTTAGAATAGAGATTCAAGTATTCATTTATATTGGAGAGACTTTTTTAGAAAGGTACAGGCACACCTCAGTAGTGCTATGTAAATAGGAATTAAGCTTCATCTTTTATCCAGTTTAAAGAATAAAATAAATATCTTTCGAGTCCTTTTGCTTTGCTTGATTTTTCAATATCACTCTTTTTTTCTCTATTCTCCTACAATGCTTAAAATCAGATTGTTTCTTTCCCATTACCAAGCTCTTCTGTCTGCTTGTGTGGTGAGTGGTTTTTTGTTTTTTTATTCCTCTGGACCCTGACCTGGTAGTCATTGTTTTTTCTTTTCATCTTTGGTTTTTTTTTTTTTTTTTTTTTTTTTTTTTTTCTTTTTTTTTTTTTTTTATTAGACTAGTCAGCCTTGATATTAGTCTTCCCAAAGCTACTATCCATTACACTGTCAGGAAAGCAAGCTGCCTTACAGTAGGCCAAGTGTCAACAGAAGGTGAGGCAGAAAATCAGCCACAATCTAAAGCTAATTACCCTGCCTAGAAGTTAATTAAATACTTGTTAGGAGCAGCAGGGTAGATCCTAATTAAACTTGTCTAATAACAGTATGCTGACATACTCTGACACTGGGAATTCCTACAGGGTTTAAATAATTGTACAAAGGGCAATAATACCTGTCACATCACGGTGTGCAGGCAAACCCTGAAGATGCACATTTCTCAGTATTTTCTGTATTAATTTGCCACATATTGTGCACTTCACATGTGTTTAATTTACACATGTTTTAATTTTGGTGCCCTGGATCTTTTTTAAATGACTTTGCTGTTGCTGATCTAAGTGTAACCACTGCAAAGGGAGATGGTCATTAGTATTTCATTGTATCATTTAATACACTAAACCTAATAAAATCCTGCTGATTGTGACACCTCCAGGGTTACTTAAAAACAGCTGTGGCCCCTTTTTTCAGGTTTTAAGGCAGTAGTGATTTTAGCTGGAAACTTAAGAGGAGCAAAGAACACAACACACCTTGCTAGCCTTCCCACATCCTGGAAGGGTGACCAGCTCTGACCAGCTACAGGCTGGTAATTTTACCAACTACAATTTCCGTTCACAAGAGTGCCACTGACAGAGCCTTTTACTTCCATTGATAATTGTGTCTTTAAGCAGTATCTCTTTAAGCCAGTCAGATCTTCATTTTCATTCAAAACAAAAGGAATGAGAAACACCTTATAGGTATAACTGCCTGACAAATTTAAAGGAAGAGGAGAGGAGAGGTGAAAAAGAGAAGGGGCTGATAACAGAAATGAATCTCTGTCTTCTGATTATTTCCAGCCTTTTGATGGGCTGGAAATATTTTTGTTCCCAGACAGGAAAACACAATTTGCCATCATTTCAAATAAATGAGGGCTCCCCACAAACCGCAGCAGGGCTTTTGTCTAGTTGTTTTTAAGAGATTGTCTATGCCAGCGGTTTTAATACTGATTTAAAAGCTGCCGTTTGACCAGGTTCTGTTTTTCAACTGATGAGTTGTCACACTGCCTCGTGTGAGGGTTAATCCCCCATTGTGTTGCCGATGCCACCGCAAAGGACTGTGACAGCAATTGCTGATAAAGCTTGTCTCTTCTCGAAAAGCCCAAAGAGGCTGTGTCGCATGCTGATGGTTGTTTACCGCAGCAAAATGCTGAATGCCAATTTTAGGAGGGCGATGTTACAAAACTTTTTCTTCTCCCCCAGTAAATTCAATTCTTCACTGTTCCTTTCCTACCCTTGACTCAAGCACCCTTTTTAATAGGGGGTTAGAGCTCTTGGGTTGTAACCAGCAATGGATGCTCGACAGTAGATTTGCTGTTCCCATCATTAGAACCCTACTTGAAATGCCATGTCAGTGAAACTAATGAAATGGAGTGCCGTGATGTGAAACGAATCAGACATGATAAAACTTTGGGGGTGGGGGGAGAATAAGAAACCTGCAAAGATTTAAGCCGATAGTAGTACTGTCATTTTGCACCCTCTCCCTGAACAGCAAGGATTAATGGAAAGATGTAAGAGCTCTGATCTTTTCTGGCAAGACTGTTGTAGAAATAATCAATTAACCTTGGGAGATCAAATTGACAGAGCTTAAGAGTGAAGTTATTTAAAATGCCAGATTACCTAGGCAGATGAATACATTTGTTGCAATACTAAAAGGAAAATGAAAGTCTTTTTCCAAACTTCGTTTTTCTGAACTGATTTAACATTATTTCCCCAGGAGTCAACTCTGCCTTTTTCAGTGTGCACTTTAACACATTAGAACAAAATGAGATTTGATGTACTCTATAAAGAGACTAGTGATTTTTCTCTCTTCTTTCAAGGAGTGGGAGGGTTATTATAGAAAATAGCTTATAGTAACCTCATGCTTTTAGCTCTTTACTTTTGTTTATTTGACAATTTGATTATTTGGGTTGCTGTCCTCTGTGGTAATTTTGGTTGGTTTCCATTCTGGCTAAATCATCTGCTGCTTCTTCCATGGAGTAAGAATTCCCTTTTGCCTTAAAAATACAAAGAATGTAAAATATTTTATAATATCAGTTATTTTTAAGGAATTAAATAATCCCATTAGATGTTCTTTAAACAATCAATTTAACTTCATTGGTTTGAAGACATAAAAGATTTATTTTATTAAAATGCTTTGGGCTGTGTTATTCAGACTAATAACCTCTCTGCTATTTTCTTGTATTAAGATGAGGACAACATAAAGTTATAGCAGCATCAGGTTGTAACTAGACTCAGTGCTGCATGCTGCAGCTGTGTTCCAACATATAAGAATATACCCAATGTAAGCACTCTAGCAACAACAATGCTGGTATGCTTGAAGGAAAGCATTCATTCACACAGAGTCTTAAATCCTTCTTTCAAAGAGAATTTGTGATCAATCTGATTGATTAAATTGGTACCTAATCTATAATTTCAAGAATGGCACATATTTCCCCTCATGAATTTTAGATCAATTGCTTTGTTAAATTGGAAAAATTGTCTTCATTTCATTTGATAATTCATACTTTCATGCATTTAATCTCTGTTACTTTTTCTTTATTCATTTATTTACAGTGCTGTAGGAGTTTATATCAAATACAGCAATTCAGTTTGAGAATATACTAAAACTTAACCTTATTTTTATTAGCGGAATATATATACTCAACTCCAAACTAGACCAAAAATATTAATACTTTTAAGACAGTAAGAAAACATTTGCACACACAAACATCCAGGCTGAATTGTAGAAGTATAGTATGTAAAAGAGTTCAGATTGACCAAATTCATCCAGACGCCCTTTGCCAGCAGCCACACTGGTGCTGGTTCCACACCAGCACCAGAGGTCACATAGTGAAATCAGGTAAAGTATGTGCATCCTAATCCCAGGCAAACTGAGATTATTTTAGTCAGCGCTATCTGACTAAAACTTGAGCTAACTTAATTCTCTCTGCCTGAGGCAGGGATATCCACTGAGCTCTTCTCAGAGCTCCATTTCAATTGGCAGACAAGCAGTTGAGAGTGCTGCGATCAGTCACTTCAGCTGGCTCCAGAATAGCATCTCTTCATGCTCTCCTTCTTCCATTCCTTGACTATGTAGCCTCTCCTAATTCAGTTTTCCTCCAGACCATGATGCTATCAGACTAAGAAAGGAAGTGAGGAGAGGAAGCTCTTTTGGGGACTGGAACAGAAGACAAAAGAAATGGGGAACAAATATAAACAAAAACAATGTGTAAAGAAGGGGTTAGTTATGAAATAGATGTTTGGGGAAATTATTCTTTGGACTTGGAAGAACTGAGAGGAAAAGTCCTTTGGAAGGTCTTGAGCTTTTACATATGAACAGAAGGGCTAGAAACTATCAGAAAAGGGATAGCGTTTATAGACAAGGAATCATTAAAAAGGATGACTACACATCGCAGAAGTCACAAACTATTG